ATCCACTTTGATAATATTCACCTTTTCTAACTCCCTTTCTTCTTCCCTTTCCCCTTTGCCCTTCCCCTTGATGCCCCTGGCAGCAGCCCCTCTTTTCTTGCTCTTTCTTATCTCTCTGTTCACATCTTTTTGGTTTTGTTTTGGGGGGGGGGTTGTCAGTCATGGGCTTGAACTCTGGGCCCAGGTGCTGTCCCTGAGCTCTTCAGTTCAAGGCTAAAGCTTGAGCCACAGCGCCACTTCCGGTTTTCTGGTCATTTATTGGAGATAAGGGTCTCATGGATTTCCTGCCCAGACTGGCTTTGAACCTCCATCCTCAGCTCTCAGCCTCCTACGTAGCTAGGATTACAGGCATGAGCAACAGGCACCCAGCTGGGGTTTTTTTGTGGTTTTTTTGATAAATCTGTTGGTGAGAGTGGGATATTGAAGTTACTTTTATTGTGTTGGGTCTATCTGTTCCTTTGTGCCCATTATGTTGTACTGATAGTTGTGTGTGCTGACCCTTGATGCATCTATGTTTATAATTGTTATACCCCCTTGATAACTACTCCCTTTATCAATAGGAAGTGACCTTGATTGTTCTGATTAGTTTTGTTTTGAAGTCTGCTTTGTCACATACGAGTGTAGTTAGTCTTCTCCATTACTTTCAGGTTCTATCGAGTTCAGGAGACTTGGGGCTGGGGGGATGGTTCTCTGAAGTGGAACAGGAACTTGAACTCAGGATCTTGTGCCTGCAAGCCAAGCCTGTTCCCACTTGAGTCACACTCCAGCCCTTTTTGCTTTTCTTTTTCAGTGAGGGTCTTGGGATTTTTGCTTGCATCTGATCTTGGACCACAACTCACTTTACTACCCAATAACCTGGGATTATAGACATGTGCCAAATACCAGATTGGTCTTTTGAGGTAAGAACTCACTTTTGGCTTGAGCTGGCCTCAAACCGTAATCCTTCTCTCTCTCTGTTTCCAAGGAAGCGAGGATACAGGCATGCACTACCATGCCTGTCCGAGCTCATCTATTAGCCCATCCTGTCTTACTCTTCTTGTGTAGGGTTCCTTTAAGTATCTTCTGAAGTACTAACTTAGTGGACAGGAATTTCTTTGCTTGTATTTATCATGGATTTTTTTTATTTCTCCTTTAAAGCCCATACTTTAGATTTCCTTAGTTTTTAACTTAGTGTCCTTTTTCTGTCTTAGAATCCCATCTAAGATGCCACATTACACCTGTCATGTCTCCTTGAATGCCTCTAAATTTGCTTTAGATGACATTGGCATCTGCTCAGGTGTTATAAAACACCTATAAAGAATTCTATAAAGAATGTTTCTCAACTATTCTCAGGACTTTTCTCAGGGTCAGACAGAGGTTGCAGGTCTTTGGGAGAAGGGATGCAGAGCGAAAGTGTCATTTGCACCACATCATCTCAAAGAGCAAATTCCATGAATGCCACTAATCAATGATACAAATTAGCTTGGAACACCAGCCTGGCGTAGTATTGTTCTTCAGGTTCGCCCTTTCTTCATTTTTGTATGTAAACTTCAGGCCGGGGTCGAGATTACTGTTCATAACTTACTCATAAGTAGTTGGAACTTGATGGTAGAGAATCTACAAAAATTATTTAGAATCCCTCTATGTGTGAGACTCCATTATGCTCTAGTTATTTATATGCTCAACCATTTATTTGTATCAGTATGGACACATGGGTATTGTATACATTAGGTAATGATCTGACACTGAATAATATTTTTTGAGGCTTGGGTTGTGTGTGCTTATGCCTTTGGGAGGCATTTAGCCATCTCTTGAGATCCATTGTTTTGTTTGTTACTTCCTTTAAGGAAGTAACAAGATGCTCCAGGTTTATGTTTTATATATTCCCTGACCTAGACCTGCTATTAGTCACTTCTCCAAGGAACTCTGGTTCTTTTCTTTTCTTTTCTTTTGGGGTCCGGTTGTGGGGCCAGAACTCTGGGCCTGGGCACTGTCCCTCAGCTCTTCAGCTCAAGGCTAACGCTCTACCACTTGAGCCACAGCACCACTTCCGGCTTTTTTCTTTTTGCTTATGTGGTGCTGAGGAATTGAACCCAGGGCCTCATGCATGCAAGGCAAGCGCTCTACCACTGAGCCAGCTTCCCAGCTCACTCTGTTTCTTTTCTAATAGCTTTTGTTTATTTACCTTAATAACCTTTAGTAGCTTTTATTTGTTATTTATTGTCTATTTGGGATGGTCCAGCCAGCTAGACATAATAAATGATAAAAAATAAAAACAAAATAATATACTCTTTACCACTTCGATCAATCACTTCTAGGCACACCACTTATTAATAAGTAAAAAAAGTAAACTTTATTATTTTCTTCAATGAAAATTGTTTTTGAGAGAGGGTCTTTTATGTGATTTCCATTTGACTCCATTCTCTTTTTTATTTTAATTTCATTGTCAAGGTCATGTACAGAGGGGTTACAGTTACATAAGTAGTGAGTACATTTCTTGTCCAACTTGTTACCCCCCTCCCTAATTTTTCTCCTTTCCCTCCTCCTCCAATCCCCCCCCCAAGTTAAACAGATCATTTCTAACATATGGTCTTGTGAGTTTAGCTGTTACATTAGATCCCCTTTGTCCCTGGTCTCACCATTTGAAACAGGGTCTTTCTATATAACTCAACTGACCCACAACATACAAACCTTCTGTAACAGCCTCTTAAATGCTGGAATTAAAGGGGTAAAACACAAATTTTACTGTTGTTTTTTTTTAATCTGTTCCTTCCCAGTTTTGATTACATGATTGCTTTCTAGGAAGTCTGAGTTCTTAAGGAAATTCTACAGCCATAAATTTCTACAATATGATCAAGTAAGGTTAACATCTGACTTTCTTGGGAAATAACATTGCTACGTTGAGGGAAATTGCCAACAACTGCCTCGGGCAATTGCAGTTTCAATTTAATTCAATGTGAATTCCTGATGTGTGACACAGAAATATTGACATCAGATCAGAGGGAGTCATGTCACCAGAATGAAGAAGCTCTCAGTGGGCTGATGACCTGGATCATTCGGTTCTCATAAGCTATATAGGCAGCCACACTCAAAAGATATAAAGTGCTCCCAAAAACATAAACATCAAAGCAAACCAAAACTGCTTTCAAGAATAGCTGGCCGGGCTGGGAAGGTGGCTCAGTAGTAGAGCGCTTGCCTTGCATGCTTGAGGTCCTGGGTTCGATTCCTCAGCACCACATAAGCAGAAAAAGCTGGAAGTGGCGCTGTGGCTTAAGTGGTAGGGGGCTCGCCTTGAGCTGAAGAGCTGAGGGACAGCGCCCAGGCCCAGAGTTCAGGCCCCACAACCGGACCCAAAAAAAAAAAAGAATAGCTGGCCAAGATTCTGTCCCATTCTGTGGGCTATCTCTTAACTCTGTAAATTATTTCCTTTGCTGGGCAGAGGCTTTTAATTTATTGCAGTCCTAGTAGTTAATCTTTGCTCTTATTTTCCGACATATTGGATTCTATTCAGGAAATTTCTCTCTATGCCTATGAAATGGCATCCAAGAATCAGTAGACGGTAAAACCCCAAAACCACTGATAAACTGGGGTTTATCAGAATTTTATCTGAGCGAAGGAACAAAGCGCTGATGAGATCTTGGAGCACCCCCCGGGATATCAGCCAGTGCCATCTTTTAAGCAGTTTTGACCAGCAGGGGGCGGAGGCGGGAAGGCTTGAGCTTGCACAGTTGGGCTCCTTGTGCATTTTGACCAATGGTCACTCCAGAAGTTTTGTTTTTTTTTACAATTTCCGCCAGGGCCTTTAGCCTAAGGGCTGTCGACCGGAAGCTTGGAGAATGGAACACAAGATGGGAATGATGCATTTAGTTAGTAGCAGGAGCGATGTTACAGTTTGACTTTATAACCACAAAAACAAAGCTACAAAATCATCCACTATTGAAAAGCAGAGGCTTCTAACTTTTACATGGCCTAAATACCTCAATCAAATATTACCTTTTATTTTCAGACCACAACACCTATGACTTCGAAGATTTCCCCACTTTCAAAGTTTCAGGTCCTACCTTAAGGCCTTTGATGTCTTTCAAATTGATTTCATTTCTTCTTTTGTTGTTTTTGTTTTGTTTTGTTTTGTTTTTTGGAGGGGGGGAGTTTGCCAGTCATGGGGCCAGAACTTTGAGCCTGGGCGCTGTCCCTCAGCTCTTCAACTTAATTAAGCCTAGTGCTCTACCACTTGAGCCACAGCACCACTTCTGGCTTTTTCTGCTTATGTGGTGCTGAGGAATCAAATCCAGGGCCTCATGCATGCAAGGCAAGGGCTCTACCACTGAGCCACATTCCCAGCCTTCTTCTTTTTTTAAACAAGATGAGAGGCAGGGATTTAGATATCCAGTTTTCTCAGCACCATTTGTTGATGAGACTCTTTTCCAAAACCCACACACACACACACACACACACACACACACACTGGCAAGTTTGTCAAAGATCCGATGGTTGTAGTTGTAGACACTCATTTCTAGGTATGATTCTTCTTATCTTATTTTAGCCTTTCCTTCTATTCTATTAGATTTGGAATATAGCTCAGGTGAGAGTAATTTATTTAGGAGAATTCAGGGGGGAACTTATTGCCTATGATGTCTTCATTAGGCTGTGACTACATCGTGGCAGACATCCTAGAGTCCCCAAGCACAAGCTGTATGCAATACGAATGCAAGGCTTAGTCCCTCTCTCCTAAAGATGCAAGAACGTGGTAGAAATGTCTCTGGATTTTTTATTCAATTTTCTTTATTTCAACCAAGTTTGTAATGCAAAGACAGACCATAAACATCTCTACTGGTAACAATCTATTCCTTTATAGTCTTCTCTGACATGACACCTTTACTTTTATGACATGCTGGACTGGAATCTTTCAGGATATCTTTTCAGGATATATTCCAAAAGAAGCAGGTCATCGATTGCAAATCCACTAATAAATAGCATCTACTTGATGTGCCAGCATTTCCAAAGGTGGCAATAAAAGGGAGCTACTGATCTCTTCCATCAGAAGGCCCAAGTCTCCTCCTGAGCCTCTTCATGGCTGATTTCATCTCCTGGTTCCTCAGAGTGTAGATCAAGGGGTTCAGCAGAGGGGAGATGACAGTGAAGGTGACAGAGATGGTCTTGTCGGTGGGGAGGGCGGTGAAGGGCCGGGCATACACATAGATGCACGGCACAAAATGCAGGGTCACCACGGTGATGTGGGAGGTGCAGGTGGAGATGGCTTTCCTCCTCCCCTCTCCAGTGTGAGACCGCAGCATCATCAAGATGACGGTGTAGGACGCCAGCAGGAAGGTGAACCACAGGGTAGTGAGCATGCCATTGTTGGAGATCATCAGGATCTCCAGATGAAAGGTATCCGCGCAGGCAAGTTTGAGCACCTGGGGGACATCACAGTAGAAAGTGTCCAGAACGTTGGGCCCACAGAAGGGCAGTGGGAGCAGGAGGGAGATCTGCACGATGGAGTGGACAAAGCCCCCCACCCAGGAGGCCGCGATGAGGGCCGTGCAGCGCCCCCTGCTCATGATGCTCACGTAGTGCAGCGGCTTGGAGATGGCGATGTAGCGATCCAAGGCCATCACCGACAGAGAGAACACATCCACTCCCCCGATCAGGTGGAAGAAGAACATCTGAGCGAGGCAGCCGTCGAAGGAGATGGTCTTCCTCACCGAGAGGAGGTCTCTCAGCACCTTGGGGGCCGTGATGGAGGAGAAGCAGATGTCGGCAACAGACAAGTTGCGGAGCAAGAAGTACATGGGGGTGTGAAGGCGAGAGTCCCAGGTCACGGTGACCATGATGAGCAGGTTTCCCAGGAGAGTTGTTACATACACCAGCAGGAGGAAAAGGAATAAGAGCAAGCTCACCTCTTGACTCTGGCTCAGGCCAAGGAAAACAAGCTCTTTGACCCTGGTGCAGTTTTCCCTGGCCATGGGCGCATCCCCCTGCTTGCTGGTGGATTTCAGGATCTGTCTTATGAAGGAACTCTTATTTCTCTTGTTCTCCTGAGCACCTAGAACCCTTGTAAGATGCTTTCCTGAGTGGATGTAGTGTTTGCAATTTGTTGAGTGGTCCAAGTAAAATAGCATCACAAGCAGTTTTGTAATTAAATCAAGTTGTCACATGAGAAAACATTTCATAGTTCTTTTCCTTTCTTGTTGTCTTGTTTGTTCATTTATCTTTCTTTGGGAGGAGAAGGGAAGGTCACAGAAATGGAGGGACAGAGAGTAAACAAATGCAGCAGTGCTACTCACTACACACTACAATGAACATCAACTATACAACTTGGGGGATGAGAGGAAAACAACTGGGAGAGTGGGAGGAAAGGGTGGACATTGTCCAGAAAGAAATGTGCTCCTTACCTGACTTATGTAACTAACTTATGACTTTTATAATAACAATAATAATAAATAATTTTCTAAAACAATAGTTCTTTTCCTATAGAATTCTTCTGGAAAGGAAAACTTAGTATGTTTTCCTAAGTTGTAAGAGTTACATAGCATATTTTTAAAAGGTCAGTATACCAGGGGGAGGGGAGTTGGGAAGGGAAAAATTGGGAGAAAATAAGGGAAGAGGTGACACTGTTCAAAAAGAAATGTGCTCCTTACCTGACCTATGTACATCAATTTTACAATAAAAATTAATTTTAAAAATATATAAATCAGGGCTGGGAAGGTGGCTCAGTGGTAGAGCGCTTGCTTTGCATGCATGAGGCCCTGGGTTGGATTCTCCAGCACCACATAAGCAAAAAAAAAAAAAAGTCAAAAGTGGCGCTGTGGCTCAAGTGGTAGAGTGCTAGCCTTGAGCTGAAGGGCGCAGGGACAGTGCTCAAGCCCAGAGTTCAAGCCCCAGGACCTACCAAAAAAAGAAAGAAAAAAATACCTATATATAATATATACATATATACAGAATTGGATAAATAGGATGCTTTTGGTACAAAAATGTCCAAGTTACTAAAATTTTTGTTTGTATTCCCTTGATTAAGATTTCTTCATCATCTTTTTAGTTATGCTGTTTTGTGGGGAAATGATTCTGGCTTTGATAAAAGCATAGAGTGGAAACACCATCTGCAGCTTCTTATTTCTGCTATAACTGTTCCTGGTTTGCTATTATTATTGTTGTTGTTGTTATTATTTTCAATTTTTTTACACTTAATAAAAACACACTTGAATAAGTACCTATGGACTTTCAGAAATTAGAAAGATAATATTGTTTTCAAAATGGAGAACTTCTCTGCATGCCAGGAGGCAGCAGGATGTAGAACAGATCTGGCTATACTGGCCATTTGGGGTCACAGCTCTATATCCCCCATGTTTTACCATCATCTAGCTTATCAGTGGAGGCCTAGACTCAGTTCCGCATGATGTGGATAGTGCACGTTTGAACCAGCAAGGAGAAAGAAGAGCCTGACCTAAGGCTGATATAAACTTGGGAAACTATAGGACTGAAGAAGGGCATAGTTCTCCATGTCAGAACTAACTGGAGATCTGCTTTTTCCCCCTTTCCTGACTCTCTTTTCTGCTCCTGTCTCCACCATCAGTAGATCCATTTGGAGGTGACCTTCCCAATGCCCTCTGGAATCTTCACCCCTTAAGACACAAAGAGTCTTATGAATGGTTCTCCTCTCCTCAAAGGGAAAAATGGTTTTCAGTTCTTTCCTACGAATGAAGAACAATGATCAACAAAGAGATCTCATTTCTCCAGACTCACAACATCTGTAAACTGAAGATGTAACTCTATTCCATCCCAAAGCCCACATTCCATCTCCTTCAACATACAGTCATTGTTTAAGCATTGAATAATCAGAATGCTTTCTTTATCTCAGTAAGAGGATAAAGGTAGCAGAAACCAAGAAAAGGCTACGTTTAGAAAAAGCTACACACTTTTTCTTCACTTTAAGCATACAAGCATGAAGCAGAATATAATTTCTCTAAAAAGAATTCAAAGCCGGGAGCCTATAATCCTGGCTACTCAGGAGGCTGACATCTGAGATCGCAGTTCCAAGCCAGCCAGGGCAGGAAAGTCCCTGAAACTCTTATCTCCAATAAAGCACCAGAAAACTGGAAGTGGCGCTGTGGCTCAAGTGGTCGAGCACTAGCCTTGAGCTGAAGAGCTGAGGGACAGCAGCACTCAGACCCAGAAGTCAAGCCCCACAACTGACAAAAAAAAAAGAACTCAAAGCAACGTAGGTGATTGGCGGTTAACAGTGAACCTCTCAATATTGTCAAGCACATTACTACTTATAAAGCACTTTGTGCTTCAACCAAACAAGCTTCGATTTGTCTGGTGAGATGAATAACATACAATTCACAGGACTTTATACATGTTTTTATGTGTTCATAATGACAAGGGGGAAGGAATGCAGTTAAGAATCCAATGTGTTTCCTACAAAATCAAGAAAGGTGAGGTTAAGGGGTGGGTAGGGAGCAATGGGTAAGAATGTTGAAAGGGCATTTGCCAAGATGCGTTGTATTCATAAACTGCCTTGTTAAATGGCAACTCCTTTGTACAACTACTTAAAGATAATTTAAAAAAATAAACAACAATAAAAAAGCAGTCAGGAAGTTTTCAGATAAAACAGGAGCCAGCATAGATCAGCCCACACTCCTTTAGAGCTGCGGTGAGCTTGTACAGCAAAAATTGATGCTGAGAAAATGAAAGTCGATTCCTTGACATTAGAATCCAATGACATGTTGGAGCCTGCATGTATCAGAAAGTGGAACTGCATTCATTTAGTCAACGAATCTTCTTATTCTGTAATGCACACTTCCTAACCCTTAGGGCATGGTTGGTATTGCACTAGCACTAGCAATATACACACACGTTCAGCAAAGTTCTAGTCTCCAGCAGTTTTCAGTCTGCGGCACGGTACAAACGTCCAAGTGTATAAACACAAGTGAAGTATAGCGCTAATACCAACGTCAGAGCTAGAGCTAGGGTTAGTCTGGGCAAGTTTCTTATAGAGGTTAAAGTTTCATTCCATTTCATCAATTTCCCAGAAGCAGGAAAATGTAAAAAGGAAAGAATTCACACATGGCCATCCGTGATGAAAATAGCATAACCATATGGAGAACACTGGAAAATGCACCATGGTTGCCACAATGTGAGAAGATGTTTATTTCCCCTCAACTCTGATTCATGTATTCAGTAGCATATGTTAAAGGGTTTTCTAAAATGGAATGGAGAAATTTTATGGTCTTCCTCGACATTCTCTCTCTCGCTTTCTCTCTCTCTCTTCTCCCTCTTCCTCTCCCTCCCTCCCTCTCTCATTCTCCCTCCCTCCATCCCTCCTTCCCTCCCCACTTCTCTCTCTGCTGGTCCTGAGTCTTAAGGCTTGAATTCAAGGCCTGAACATTTTTACTAAAGGCTAATACTCTACTACTTTAACCATAGCTCCATTCCTGGATTTTTGGTGGTTAATTGGAGATAAGAGTCTCACAGACTCTCCTACATGGACTGTCTTTGAACTGTGATTCTCAACTCTCAGTCTCCTGAGTAGCTAGGATTCGGGGTGTGAGCCATCTGCACCCAGATCCTCTTTCTCTCTTTGAATGACACAACAGTGGGAGACACTGGTTTCACAAGAATAAGGGATGTTTATATAAGATGTGTTGAATCATTTTAAGTAACTTTTGTAATTACGATTATTTGTTCCGTCTTGTGCATAGACAATGAACCTTTATTACAATGCTTACATATCTACGGACAAATCAAGTCAATGGAAGTTCAGGATCCTATATTAAGTAAAAGAATACAGACAGAGCCAGGCAATGGTGGCTCATGCCTGTACTCCTAGCTACTCAGGAGGCTGAGATCTGAGGACTGCAGTTCAGAGCCAGCCTGGGCAAGGAAAGTCTGTGAGACTCTTATCTCCAATTAACCACCAGAAAACCAGAAGTGGCACTGTGGGTCCAGAGTTAAATCCCCACAACTGACCAAAAAAAAAAAAGAATACAGATAGAGAAAGAGTAAATATTGTATTCTCATATTTGGAAAATTTTATAAAATAACCTGATGGCAAAATAGTGATTTAAAGATTTGAAAAGGCTTGTGAGTATGTGTGGGTGTGTGGGTGCATGCATGTTGCATCAGTAAAGGAAGAGTATATCTGATAACTGCACGCTGTATGCATATGGGGAAATATTGTGTTGGAACCCCATTAAAATGTAGAATGTATATATGCTAATAAAAATTTAAAATGATAAAGTAAAATGTCTACTATAAACTAGACTATGTTGTAAAATGCTTATAGTCTAAAAAAGTAAATGATTTGAGAAATTAACCAACCTAGATGCCCCTCAGTAGATGAATGGATCAAGAAAATGTGGTATATATACACAATGGAATTCTATGCCTCCATCAGAAAGAATGACATTGCCCCATTTGTTAGGAAATGGAAAGGCTTGGGAAAAATTATATTAAGTGAAGTAAGCCAAGCCTAAAGAAACATAGGTCTCATGATTTCCCTTATTTGCAATATCTAGTATATGTATGAGTCAAGCAGAAAAGGTCAGATAAGGTGATGTTAAGAAAATGAACCCTAAGATATGTATTTTAAATTTTTTTCTTTCATGCGATTGTTTCTAACTCAATTAAAAGATTATTTCTTTGTTGCTTTGTATGTCCCTCCCCCACAGTATAACCCCTGCTTTCACTGTATTTGATGTCGGTATAATTTGTGGAGGGGAAGGGGAAAAACAAGTTGTTAAGTAAGGATACAGGTGAACCCGTTGCAACAATGAGAAGTACAAGTTGTCATGTCGAAAACAAACTTTACAACTTGGGGGGGGGTTATTGGGAGGGGAGGGAGAATGAGAAGGGATGGGAAGGGTAAACAAAGGAGGAGGCTACAATGCTTGATAAGAAATGTACTCACTATCTTGCCCATGTAATTGTAACCCCTCTGTATAGTATTTTCACAATAAAAAATAAA